CAGCATCATCATCAGCATCGTCAGCCTCATCATCGCCATCATCATCAGCAGCATCATCATCATTATCATCATCCCCTTCATCGTCAGCATGCGTTTGCTCCTCCTCCTTCTCCTCCTCCTCCCTGGCTGCTCATGCGGCTCCTCTCCTTCCTCTGGAGAGGGGCCCAGCGGAGCACTCTAGGCAGAAGCCGTAGAGGAAGGTCAGACCATCCTCCCAGCCCATGTAGCCTCCGCCGCGCCAGGCGAGCGGGCGCTCCGCATCCCTCCCCCTCTCTATGTCTATCGGTTTCTCTCGTCCTCTCCCTCTCACTCTCTATCCTTAAGTCGGGCCTGTCCCTCTACAGGGGTATTTTGGACAGAACAAATAATCAACAAGGACCCCTAAATTGCAAAACCATGCTCAAAAATCATACCCAGACAATTTTCTGACTATTTTTGCGTATTCCTCCTGTAGAGGGACGTGCCCGACTTAACTCTATCCCTCTCTCTCTCTCGTCCTCCCTCCCTCCCTCCCTCCCTCCCTACCTCCCTCTATGTCAATGAGGCCGAAGGCGTCGCGAGTCAGAAGAATTGCGGATCTTGGGAAAAGATGTTGGCTGCCAAACCTGGAGGATGCAGACTGGGTGGCGGCAGTTTCAGAGAGCTCTGGAACGCTCTCAGTGTTCCAGAACGCTCTGGGAGCGATTGATGTTCATCCTCGGCCTGCCTGCTGAGGGGATGGCAACTCGGAGGGGCCGTCTGCGCATTTGGACAACTGCGGCCAGCACGAGCGACAGCGGCGACAAAGGTCTGGTGGTAAGACGGGGAGGAAGGGGGAAGATGGATGAGGAGGCCGCGGGAGCGCGGGACCTGAGAGACTCTGAGAAGTGCACGGAACAACCAGGCCGAGCGGATCGACCCATAATAAAAACGTTGAAAAACACGCCGGTGGCGAGCCAGAAGGAGGTGAGCTTCACCTGGCGCGCGGGCCCCCGCCACTTCGCCGCACACCGGAGAAGAGGAAGCGGACGAAGAGAGATGGAAGGGGGGCGGAGGAGGGGGGGGAGGAGTAGGACAACTATCTTCGCGCTTCGCGCTCCGCGAAGCGCGAAGCGCGATTACCTTCGCGCTCTCGCGCCGCCCCCCCGCCCCGAACAGGATGAGGGACTCGCGCCTCGCTCTGAGATTAGGTCGGGCATGTCCTTCTACCAAAAAACATCGTGTTTGTCCTAAGGTTTTTCAAGGTTCTGGTGTTCTCGCCTTTTCGGGCCCAAAAGGGCCCCAGACGGCTCCAGAGGTCCAAGAAATCATCCCAAGACGGCCCCGGAGGCCTCAAGAAGGGCCCGAAAACGGTCCAAGAGGGCCCGAAGGCCGAGGAGGAAGGGCAAGGATGCGGAGGATGGGGACTCGGAGCCAGAGAGAGAAACGGGTGAGAAGGCGGAGGGGCAGTCGGAGGAAAAAGCGATGATCGTCTAAGGAAGTGCACAGGTGACCGCCGTATTGAACGATATGCGGCTGGTGCTGAGCGGCGGCTGCAGATAGTTCACCTCGCCACCATTCCAAGATTCATCGCGCAGTAAGCTTGCAAGAGATGGACATTGATCGTACGAGAGCCTACGCACGAGGTCAAGTGAAAAAATGCTCCTGATACAACTGAAGCCCATGAAATTCCATACTCGTGCCTACGCAACCGTGAAGAGCAAAAAGCGAAAGGCAAGATGATGTCTAACCTGCGCAAATGCCGACACGTCCTCCTCGTCTTCTCCCTCGTCCTGTTCCTCCCCCACCCCTGGGCATGAAAAAACGGGTCCATGCAGGGCACGGTCTTTTTGGCGGCGCGCTCAAAGGGGTGGCGCGAGGGGGGGAGCCTTGTGAGAAGGCGGCGCGCTTCTTAGAAGGCAGGGGCGTTCTTAGAAGGGCCTGGAAGCTTCTAAAAAGGCATCTTAGGAGCAGGGGGGGCTTTTATGAATGCCCATGCCTTCTTAGAAGCCCCCTCGCCTTCTTACAAGGCCGCCCCCCTCGCGCCACCCCCTTGTGCGCGCCGCCAATCCTGAACCTCGGGAATCTCCCCAGGACCAGCTTTTCACTCCGGCCCATTGCTTGCCAGTCTCGTAACCCCAGGAGAGACCGACCTACCTCCGGAGGCCGACAACAGCGAACACACATCCAGCACTAGGTCCTGCAGAAAACCCTCTCTTCATGCTGACCCCTCCGCCCGCATGTTGTCTGTGCGTTATCCCCACACATTCTGTCTGTAAAGGTCGTGTTACCCGATCAGCGATTGCACTGACAGGGTCCTAGCAAGTGCTGGAAAACGGAACGAAGATTGGAGGATTGCAAAAAAAAACGAAGGATTGCAAAAAAAACCTTTGTCTGTAAAGGTCGTGTTACCCAATCAGCGATTGCACTGACAGGGTCCTAGCAAGTGCTGGAAAACGGATCGAAGATTGAGGCCCCTGGATTCCGGGCTGTTTTCTGGCGAGAGACACCGAACCGATCTCGGTCGGCGGCCGGGCTCCTCGGTGACCCATTCCAGGTGGCCCAAGACGGCCCCAAGAGGCCTCCAAGAGGGCCTCCAGGAAGGCCCGGAAACGCCAAACTCGTTGATTTCCCATGAGTTGTTGAAGGATTTGGGTATTTGCTTTTTTTTTCGCCCTTCCGACGGCCCGAGACGGCCCAAGTGCCCCCAAAGATCGCCCAAGAGGCCTCCAAGACGGCCCCAAGAGGCCCCCGAGACGGCCCAAGAGGCGTCCAAGACGCTCAAGATGGCCTCCAAGACGGCACAAGAGCCTTCCAAGACGTCCTCCAAGAAGGCCCGAAAGGGTCACCATGGTCTCCAGACGGCCAAGATGACCTTCAAGATGCCCACGTGTTCCCCGAAGGCTTTCCAAACCGATTCGGGGAACACATGGTCCGATAGCTTGGCAGGTCTGGCCTCAACGTTCGGCCACATAGGCGCTTCCAAAAAGGCAGGGGGCGGCGGTGATTCGCCGTAGGCGTCTTCGATTTCCGCCACCCCCTGTGCTTGTCACAGGGGTGCCCGGCGTGCTAGACCCTTTCGGTTTTGGTTTTGGTTCTTTTTCCAAAAGAACTCTCCCCTGGGGCTCCGGCCCCTCCCGCTGGCCACCTGGAAAGACCAGGAAAACCCAGTTGACAAGGATTTTCCTGCTCCAGACGGCTCCAAGATGGCCCAAGCTGGCCTCCAACATGCCTTCGAGTAGCTAAGATGGCCTCCAAGACGGCCCAAGAGGGCCCAAGATACTTCCAAGTTCGCCCAAGAAGCCTCAAAGACGGCCCAAGACTGCCCAAGGGGTGCCCAGGAGACCTCCAAGACAGCCCAAGAGGCCTCCGAGAGGTCCTCCAGGAGGGCCCGAAGAGGCTAAAATCATTTTCCATAGGTTTTTGAAGGATTATTGCATTTGCTCTTTTTCGACCTTCCGACGACACAAGACGGCCCAAGAGGCCCCCAAGACGGCCCAGAGAGGGCCCAAAGTCGGCCCAAGAGGCCTCTCAGACGCCCCAGGAAGCCTCCCTGACGGCCCTGGAGCACCCCAAGAGGGCCCCAAGTCGGCCCAGACAGGCCTCCAAGACGGCTTCCGACGGCGTCTGACGGGCCAGGAGCCCACCAAGACGGCCCAAGATGGATATTAGATGGCCCAAGACGGCCCAAGAGGCCTCAAGAGGGCCGCCAGGAAGGCCCGAAGAGGCAAAAATATGTATTTGACTAAGGTGTTTGAAGGATTTTGACATTTGCTTCTTTTCGGCCTTCCAACAGCCCGAGACGGCCCGAGCGCCCCAAAAGATCGCCCCAAGATCGCCCAAGAGGCCTCCAAGATGGCCCCAAAACGGCCCAAGAGGCCCCCAAGACGGCCCCAAGAGGGCCCAAAGACGGACCAAGAGGCCTGCCTCTAAGACGCCCAAGAAAGCCTCGAAGACGGCCCTGGAGCATTCCAAGAGGGCCCCAAGTCGGCCCAGAGAGGCCCCCAAGACGGCTCCCGACGGCGTCTGACGGGCCAGGAGCCCACCAAGACGGCCCAAGATGGATATTAGATGGCCCAAGACGGCCCAAGAGGCCTCCAAGAGGGCCGCCAGGAAGGCCCGAAGAGGCAAAAATATGTATTTGACTTAGGTGTTTGAAGGATTTTGACATTTGCTTCTTTTCGGCCTTCCGACGGCCCGAGACGGCACAAGAGCCCCCAAAGATCGCCCCAAGATCGCCCAAGAGCCATCCAGGATGGCCTCAGAACGGCCCAAGAGGCCCCCAAGACGGCCCCAAGAGGGCCCAAAGACGGACCAAGAGGCCTCCAAGACGCCCAAGATGGCCTCTAAGACGGCCCTGGAGCACCCCAAGAGGGCCCCAAGTCGGCCCAGAGAGGCCCCCAAGACGGCTTCTGACGGCGTCAGACGAGCCAGGAGCCCACCAAGACGGCCAAAGAGGCCCCCGAGAAGCCCCCAAAGGCCCCCAAGAGGCCCAAGAAGGCCCCCAAGATGCCTCCAAGATCGCCCAAGAGGCCTCCAAGATGGCCCCAAAACGGCCCAAGAGGCCCCCAAGACGGCCCCAAGAGGGCCCAAAGACGGACCAAGAGGCCTGCCTCTAAGACGCCCAAGAAAGCCTCGAAGACGGCCCTGGAGCATTCCAAGAGGGCCCCAAGTCGGCCCAGAGAGGCCCCCAAGACGGCTCCCGACGGCGTCTGACGGGCCAGGAGCCCACCAAGACGGCCCAAGATGGATATTAGATGGCCCAAGACGGCCCAAGAGGCCTCCAAGAGGGCCGCCAGGAAGGCCCGAAGAGGCAAAATATGTATTTGACTTAGGTGTTTGAAGGATTTTGACATTTGCTTCTTTTCGGCCTTCCGACGGCCCGAGACGGCACAAGAGCCCCCAAAGATCGCCCCAAGATCGCCCAAGAGCCATCCAGGATGGCCTCAGAACGGCCCAAGAGGCCCCCAAGACGGCCCCAAGAGGGCCCAAAGACGGACCAAGAGGCCTCCAAGACGCCCAAGATGGCCTCTAAGACGGCCCTGGAGCACCCCAAGAGGGCCCCAAGTCGGCCCAGAGAGGCCCCCAAGACGGCTTCTGACGGCGTCAGACGAGCCAGGAGCCCACCAAGACGGCCAAAGAGGCCCCCGAGAAGCCCCCAAAGGCCCCCAAGAGGCCCAAGAAGGCCCCCAAGATGCCTCCAAGAGGCTCCCAGGAAGCTCCCAGGAGGCTCCAAGAGTGTCCCCAAAGGCTCCCAAGATGCCCTCTTCTCCTCCTCCTCCCCCTCCTCCTCCTCCTCCTCCTCCTCCTCCTCCTCCTCCTCCTCCTCGTCCTCCTCCTCCACCTCCTCCTCCGCCTCCTCCTGATCTTCCCCGCCATCCTCCCCCAAGTGTTCCCCGAAGGGTTTCCACACCGGTTGGGGGAACACACGCTCCGATAGCTTCGGCCACATGGACGATCTTGGAAGGCAGGGGGCGGCGGTGATTCGCCGTAGGCGTCTTCGATCTATATATATATATATATATATATGTATATATGTGAATAAATATACACATATAAGAGAGAGAGAGAGACAGATAAATAAATAAATAAAGAAAGAAAGAAAGAGAGAGAGAGGGGGAGAGAAAGAGAGAGAGAAAGAGAAAGAGAAAGAGAGAGAAACAACAAATATTGATTTAACGAGGGCAAAACGAAGTGTGTATAGAGAGCACGTGCAACCAAGGTCAGAATGAGGCTAGAGTAAACAAAAGATATCACACACCAGAAAATATAGAGCAGAGTCGACGTGAGAGAAAAAAAGGAAGGAGAGAGAGTGAGAGGGTTTGCGTAGAGAGGAGATAATAAGGAGAAGGCATGTAGCACCTGCGGGAATTTCCGGAAATCCAGCAAATCCGAAAGAAAACAGTGAATTTCTGGAAATTGAGCTGCTTGTTTCTTGTGTGATGCTAAGTTTGTTATGAGGCCAGTGGGTGGTCCGCGCCATCCAGTCGGTGGCACACGGTTTCTTGTCGTAGCTCGAGGTGTCTTGGTTATCTGGTCATGGTTTGTAGTCTCTCGTCGTGGTTCGTGATCTCTGGTCGTGGCCCGTGGTGTCTGGTCGTGCACTCTAGTTGTAGCACACGGTCTCTGGTCTCTGGCACAAGACAGTCGGGACTGCTGCGGAACATGAGTATACCAAACCACCCGCATGTTATAAAGCTTCATTCCTTCTAGCCTCATCGCGTCAGAACGGTCCAACACTGCCACAGAAACCGCGACATGCACACATGATCCGACTATTGGCGATATCATCATGCGCGGGCAAGGAATTTGCATTTCGAATGAATGTCGAAAATTGGGCCGTCCTGGGCCGTTCCTAACCCGAAAAGGCGAGAATCGAAAAAACACAGAAAAAACAAATACGTTTTTGACCTCCTCGTGCCCTCTTGGGGGTTCTCTTAGGAGGCCTCTTGAACCTTCTTGGGGTCCTCCTGGGCCGTCTTGAGGCCATCTGAAGCCATCGTGGAACGCTCTTAGGCGGTCCTGAGCTTTCTTGGGGCGCGTTGGGCCGTCTTGGAGCCCTCTTGGACCCCTCTTGGCCGTCTTGGGCGCTTCTTGGGACGTCTTGGGCGCCTCTTGGGCCGTCCAGGGGGGGAGCCTGGCCATTAGATGCCGGTCGTCCGCGCCTCGCCCCTCCCCTGGACCCCTCCCTAGAGGGCTTTGCCCACCAGAACATCATCACTCGTACCTCGCTCCTTTCGTTACCTGCGTGGCATGGGGACAGAAAGCGCATCTCAATTTGCGATGGCACGAGATCGCTGGCTTGTCCGTCCTCTTACGTCCTCTCTTCCCCTCGCCCTTGTCGCGAACTTGATCTTGGGGCACTATTGGGCCGTCTTGGGAGACTCTCGGGCTGTCTTCGGGCCCTCTTGAGCAGTCCGTAGGCCCTTCAAGAGAGATTGCAAGACGATGTTAGATCATCATTATAAGCATGTGAAGTTGGAGATTTCTGATTCGTTTAAGAATGTCCACGGCACTGCCACTGTAACCCGCCTGGCCATTTCAACCCGCCGGGCCCTTTCAACCCACCTGGGCCTTTGAACTCGCCTGACCGTTTAGACCCAAATGTCCTCTTCGAACCGCATGGCCACTACGACCGCGTAACTGTGTTCATCAACATGGTCGCTTTAACCCACCTATCCGCGCTGACATCCTTGGCCGTTTTCACCAGCCTGGTCGTTTTGACCTGCCTGAGCGTTTTAACCCACCTGGCCGTTTCAAGCCGCCTGGGCGTTTTGACCCGTCTGGCCGACTTCAATCGCTTGGCCGCTTCAACTCGCCGGGCCGTTTTAACTCACCTGGGCGTTTGAACCCGCCTGACCGTTTCAACCCGCGTGGCCGTTTTAGCACGCCTGGTCGTTTTGACCCCAAGTGGGCATGAGCCCCTGAAAACATATGACAACGCATGGGAAAATGCCGCGGTCGAATCGGGCCCAGTCCAGCCATGAGATACACGAACTCCATCACAGCATTAGAGTTATGATATTTTGCAGCGTAGTTTCACTATCGTTACATTATACTTGGCTCGCTTTAGTACTAGAAGACTGTTAAACTCGGCCACGGATAGCGCACGTGCATAATCCCCCAAAACATGACCGCAACGGCGTCTCCAGGATGAGGGGACAGAGTGATGGGTGTTCCTAACACTTCTTACAAGAGCTGTGCAGCCAAAACTGCAGTTGGTCCAAAACGACGGCGACGAAGACCTGAACTATGCTGGCAGACGCTGCAATACGTTGTGAAGACGTTGGTACCCCTTCGTGCTCCTCCCACTCGACATAATCAGAATCATCATCATCCATCATCAAAATCAACATCATCATCAGCAGCAGTATCATCATCATCATCATCATCATCAGCATCATCATGATCATCGGCATCATCATCATCAGCATCATCATCATCATCAGCATCATCAGCATCATCATCATCATCATCATCGTCATCATCATAATCATCATCATCATCATCATCATCATCATCCATCATCAGTAGTATCATCATCAGCATCATCAGCATCAGCATCGCCATCATCATCATCATCATCATCAGCAGCACCATCAGTATCATTCAGCGTCATCATGATCCTCATCCTCATCCTCATCCTCATCATCATCAGCAGCATCGGCATCATCAGCAGCAGCATCATCAGCATCATCATCAGAATCAGCAGCAGCACCATCAGCATCATTCAGCGTCATCATGATCCTCATCCTCATCCTCATCCTCATCATCATCAGCAGCATCAGCATCATCAGCAGCAGCATCATCAGCATCATCATCAGAATCCTTGTCCTCATCCTCACCCTCATCATCATCATCATGATCATCATCATCATCATCATCATCAGCATCATCATCATCATCATCATCCTCCTCCTCCTCCTCCTCCTCCTCCTCCTCCTCCTCCCTCCTCCTCCTCCTCCTCCTCCTCCTCCTCCTCCTCCTCCTCCTCCTCATCATCATCATCATCATCATCATCATCATCATCATCATCATCATCATTATCATCGTCAGCATCATCATCATCGTCATCAGCATCCCCACCACGACCATCATCACCACCATGATCCTCGCTATCGATCTACTCGTCCATTTCATTGCTTCCCGATCCTTCTCCTGACCCTCATTCTCCTCCTCCTATTGTTATTCCTCCCTCCTCCCTCTTCCCTTCTACATGCTCCCTCCTCCTCATCATCCTCGTCTAACACGCGGCCGAAGAGGCCAGCAAACCAGAACATCAGAAAAACGTATCGCCATCCCCGCCCCTCCTCTCACGTCTTCCCCCCGCCGCCTCCCTCTCCACCTTCCCTCTCACTCCTTAGGACGAGAATGATATCATGATACGATTGGCTCTGGATCCGTTCCAGGATTTCCAGAGTGCCTAGCAACCCTCGTTTCTAGAGCCCTTGTGGAACATTTGGTAGTGTAGGAAATCCTGGGAACCTTGGACATATTTGAACGTATGACTATCCTGACCTTTTGCTTATCTGACTCCTCCTCCCTCATCCATCCTCTGGCGGCAGAGGCTCAAAGGAGAGCGGGCGCGCATCCAGCGCGAGCAGCGTCCCGACGTACGCGAGAAATATTACCCAGACCACAGGGTGGTCCTCTCGACGCCGGGCGCGCGACGTGGAGAAGGGGATCTTACGCATGAGGACACGGAGGTCTCACGCCTTGGCTTGTGGCAGGTTCGTGTCGTGCCACTTCTGACAACGCAGGGATCGTTCAACATTGAACGTTCGGACGGTTCCGAAAAGTCAGATCCTTCAACATCGACCCATTCTGCGTCGCCGGCGGAAGTCAACGTTGAACGCCGGCGGCGGGGTTGCCGTCAATCGACACGACGCGGACCTACCGTACACGTGCCGCCAACGCGGGACACCGCAAGGAGAAGAGAACCGCTCGCGCGCGATTTTACGCGAGAGGGCTGCGCACGAACGTCCGCGCTGTCGGATTCCTTTTTTCGCGTGAGTGAGCAATTCATGCCTGCGCCTGATGACCTCATCTTCTTCTCCGCCCTTTCTGGCCCACTGCTCGCAACCCCGCCCATCTGGCAACAGGGGAGACCGCGAAGAGGAAGAGGCGAGGGCCTGCCGAGGTCACAGGGGCACCCCGGGCCCAAAACTCTGGAAAAGCTGTGGGCACTGCGGTCCGGATCTGTGAACACCCGACAGGGGAGGAGGAAGAGGAAGAAGAGGAAGAGGAGGAGGGGACGTGCAAGACGACGGCACGAAGAGAACATACTCAGGATGAGACAGATCTGAGTCTCTAAGAAATAGCTAATTGATTTGGAGGAAGCGTAGGGCGCAGCGGCCGTTCCAGAGCGTGCTGGGCCGCTCTGATTTCAGAACGCAAAGCGCAAAGGAACGATTCCCCCTCATCCTGGGCCTGCCAGAAGCTCTCCCGCGATTCACACCCATCCGGCACAGAGCAGGACCGAGACAAGGAGGGGCCCCGCCTGGGAGCCTCCAAGGCGTCGGCCGTCCATGTCGCTCTCCATGCTGGGAGGCGGGGAGGCGGAGCCGGCGGAGGCGGAAACGTAAAGGGCATCTATACACCATCACTGTGTCTGCCAGGCGCGGTGGTGGTGCTCAGGTGCCTTCTGCGGAGGCGTTGGCAGCGGAAGAGCAGGACGACGCGGCGACGACGGTGACGAGGGAGGGCCCTCTCGAGATGGCTTGGAAGCAAAGAGTCGGCGTCGCCCCCGCGACCTCGGGGTGCGGCTCCACCACAGCGAGGCCGACCCGCGCGGAGTCCGAGGACGCCCCCTCTGCTGCACGTGGCTCCCCACACGCATGGCCCTTAAGCTCCCTGTGCAGAACATTTACACGGCTCCGCATGTTAACCCGCCATCGTACCGCGAGGCACTGAGTGAAGTGTCATCATCAAACCCTCTGCATTGAGTAGTACTGCAAACACTCTTTGATAGGCCCATCCCTCCGAGAGACTTCTGGGCGCTCCCGCGCGTTTTCCTCGGGCGCCCCGCATGACTTCTCCAGAGGCACAGAGCGACTTCGCAGACCAAGAGGCCCCAAGAGGGCACGAAGACGGTCCAAAAGCTCTTCAAAACGGCCCAAGAAAGCTCCAAGACGGCCAAGGAGGGTCTGAAGATGGCCCAAGATGCCCCGGGACACACAAGATGGGAAACAAAAAAAACGTTATCCTTGTTCCTGGCTTCCTACAGCCCAGAGCGGACCGAAAGGCCCTTCGGGTCGCTCCAATTCGGCACAAAGAGGTCCCGAAGACAGCTTCAAGGCGACAAACAACAGAGTCCCAGGACAGCCAAACGGGGCCTCAAGACGGTCCGCGAGGGCCCCTGGAGGGCTCCAGGAGGGGCAGGGACGGGTACAGCGAGCTTGGCTGGGGAGCATTCCCTCACAAGCTGGGCCCCAGGAGCCCCAGCATGCCCTCAAGAGCCCGCCAGAGGCCCTCAAGAGGCCCTACGAGCCGCCCGAGCGGCCCCCCAGAGCCCTCCCAAGAGGCGCCCAAGAGGCCCCCAAGAGGCCCCCAGCAGGCCCCGGAGAGGCATCCATGAGAGTCCATGTAGGGGCCCGAAGAGGCATCCAAGAGGCCTCCGACCTACAACCCAGGCACAGTGGCGGGATGGAAAGCCGCTAGATCCGCCGCCCCCTGTTGGCTTGCCACAGGGCTGCCTGGCGTGCTAAATGATTTCGATTTGGGCTTTGGTTCTTTTCCAAAAAAACTCTCCCTGGGGCTCCGGCGCGTCCCGCCGTGGTCCCGGGAGGGGACCCCAGGCCCACAAACGACCTCAACGTCAGCAAAAAATTCTCCAAGACGGCTCAAGATGGCCTCCAAGACAGCCAAGATGACCCTCAAGCTCGCCCAAGATGGTCCAAGACGGCCTCCCAGACGGCCTCAGAGGGTCCCAAATACATCCAAGTTCGCCCAAGAATCCTCCAAGACGGCCCAAGAAGCCCCCAAGAGGTCCTCCAGGAGGGCCCGAAGAGGCAAAAATCGTTGATTTTCCTTAGGGTTTTGTAGGATTTTGGCATTTGCTTCTTCTCGGCATTCCGACGGCTCAAGATGGCCCAAGAGGCCCTCAAGATCGCCCCAAGATCTTCCACGAGGCCTCCAAGATGGCCCCATGAGGGCCAAAGAGGCCCCGAAGGCGGCCCCAAGAGGGCACAAAGACGACCCAAGAGGCCTCCAAGACGCCGACGATGGCCTCTAAGACGGCCCTGGAGCACCCCAAGAGGACCCCAAGTCGGCCCAGAGAGGCCCCCCAAACGGCTTCCGACGGCGTCAGACGGGCCAGGAGCCCACCACGATGGCCGAAGTTGGCTCGAAGCTGGCCTAAGACGACCCAGGAGGCCTCCAAGAGGGCCTCCAGGAAGGCCAGAAAGGCAAAAAACATTGACTTTCCTTAGGTTTTTGACGGATTTTGACATTTGCTTCTCTTTGGCCTTCCGACGGCCCGAGACGGCCCAAGAGCCCCCAAAGATCGCCCAAAGATCGCCCAAGAGCCCTCCAGGATGGCCCCAGAACGGCCCAAGAGGCCCCCAAGACGGCCCTAGGAGGGCCAAAAGACAGCCCAAGAGGCCTCCAAGACGCCCAAGATGGCCTCTAAGACGGCCCTGGAGCACCCCAAGAGGGCCCCAAGTCGGCCCAGAGAGGCCCCAGAGAGTCGGCCCAAGAGGGCCCCAAGTCGGCCCAGAGAGGGCCTCTAAGGCGGCCCAGGAGCACCCCAAGATGGCGCCAGAACGGCCCAAAAGGCCCCCAAGACGGCCCCAAGAGGCCCCCAAGACGGCCCCCAAGACGGCCCCCAAGACGGCCCCCAAGACGGCCCAAGAGGCTTTTAAGACGCCCAAGATGGCCTCCAAGACGGCCCTGGTGCAGTCCTAGAGGGCCCCAAGTCGGCCTAGAGGGGCCCCCCAAAAAGATTCCGACGGCGTCGGACGGGCCAGGAGCCCACCAAAACAGCCGAAGGTGGCCCTAAGATGGCCCAAGACGGTCCAAGAGGCTCCCAAGAGGGCCTCCAGAAGGGCCGAAAAGGACAAAATCATTGATTTCCCATGAGCTTTTGTGAAGGATTGTGGCATTTGCATTTTTTCGGCCTTCCGACGGCCCGAGACGGCCCAAGTGCCCCTAAAGATCGCCCAAGAGGCCCAAGACGGCCCCAAGAGGCCCCCAAGACGGCCCAAGACGGCCCAAGAGCCCTCCAAGACGTCCTCCAAGAAGGCCCGAAAGGGTCAAAATGGCCTCCACACGGCCAAGATGACCTTCAAGATGCCCACGTGTTCCCCGAAGGCTTTCCAAACCGATTCGGAGAACACATGGTCCGAAAGCTTGGCAGGTCTGGCCTCAACGTTCGGCCACAGAGGCGCTTCCAAAAAAGCAGGGGGCGGCGGTGATTCGCCGCAGGCATCTTCGATACTGTTGCGCGAAATCTGCTACGGCCGCCGAATGCACGGAAGGACCCTTTGCCATTCAATTCCGCAAAAAACACCCGTGAGAGCCGCACGGTCGACACGACCCGCCAGAGGAGTTATTGCACCTCTGTAGTCGTCCTCCCCGATCAGGCCCCCCGCTGCAAACCCTAAACAGGCCCGAGTGCTTCACGCACAACTTCAAGTACAGTAACTAGTTGATGCCACGTTGCGTGTCCTCGAACGACCTTCAACTCAACTGTTTCAAAAGCAACCCATTCTGGAGCCTCGGCTGCACGTTTCGTTACGACGTGACGATGCCCTACAGCTCGCTTTGCCTCTGCCCAGGACCCTGTAATATTGATATCGACCTCAGCCCAGGATCCCTTCTCCGACCTCCTTCCCAGCTCTCCCTCCCTGGGTCCCTCCTCGAGCCTCCCACCATGGATGCCTCCTCCCTCCTCGAACACCTAAATCCAGCTCCCCTCGCAGAAGCCTCCGGAGGCCTCCAGAGGCCGCTGAGGCCCAAAAAGGGCCAGCAACTTCCAAAAACCTTGATCCCACTCCCCCCATTGGCCCATCATCCGAGCCTCGTCCAATCCAAAAAACCCATCTAACACATCAGCAAGCTGAAGACCGCCCGAAAACGCTCAAAAAACTTCAGCCACTCCCTCTGACTTTCGGGGACGCACTGAATCAGCGCTACCCCTGGTCAGCCGAAGCAACGTCGCGAACCCCTCCCGACCGCACAGCAGCTCCCGAACTCAGGCCACCGGAGGTCCGAAGCCAAGTCGGCCAGAGGGGACCGGAGGGGACCCCCCGTGATCGCCGACCCTGGCACGTCTCTCGGGGATGGACAGAATCCCCTTCATTAAAACGTGGTTTAGCGAAGAAAACGACCTCGGGCCCAAACCTGGCGGACGCAAGCCTCGAAAATGACGGCCGCGGCGCCCTCTCGAGAACCGAAAACGGACAATTCACCAATCGACGTGTCAGGGTGGGTGTTCTGTCCACCCCCGGAGTCCCCCCAAAACATGGAACGAAGGGTCCCGAGGGAAACGGGGCCCTAAGGCCTGGCCCCTTTCGACTGACGGCCAGCTGTTCGTCCTGACTCGTTCTTCGTGGCGGTCCTGGGCCAGGGGAGGGCTCCAGGGGGCCGAACACGGCAAGAATCTGCGGGACCCGCTTCCTCCAGGACCCCTGTCCGTCATGGCGACAAGCCCTCCCCTCCCTGGTCGGGCGCGCCGCAAACCAGGGAGTCACGACGAGAGGGGCGGTGGCCCGTCGCGACCCGAGGCGGGCCTGGGGACGCACTGCAAGAGGCAGGAGGGGCTGCAAAGTCTGGGAGACGTCGTGGCCTTGGCTGCGGTATCCACACACATACATATGTTTTTGTGCGTCGCCGCCACGCGCGCAGCGACGCAGCGGTGTCGGGCTGAAAGGTCACCCACACACACACACACACACACACACACACACACACACACACGCACACACGCACACACGCACACACACACACACACACACACATCTATATATATATATATATATATGTTTGAATGTACCGACCAGCTGACGTCGCTGCAGCGCGATCTAAGGCGGGGCGCGCGTAGCATCAATTCCACATGGCGTTGGAGGTGGGAGGACTACGCAGGGCGAGTCGCGTGCAGAAGGTGGCTGCGCTAGGCGAGCCCGTGCCAAGAGCGGCGAAAGACAAGCGTGCAGCGCGCATCGACAAGCCCAGACGAGCCCGAGCAAAAGCACCAAGCAACGCTACCCGAGGAGGACGGGACGAGGATAAGGATAGGGGCGGCGAGCGGTCGCACGCGCCGAGGCCACGCCACCCCACACCCACACACGTTTTTGGCGTCGTGGCCCCACGCGCAGCGAGACAAACGCGCGCGCGACAAGCGGCCGAGCCCTCAAGCCGCTCAGAGCGAGCAGCGCCGCGGCCAGCCAAAGGACATCTGGGCAAGGATGACCAAGGGAAAAGACGAGGTGCGCAGTGCTAGCTGACAAGGAAACGCCGTGTCGGCAGGGCGAACGGGGGGTACAATAGCAGCTATAGCGATGCCGTGGCTAGACAACTGGCCAAAGGGCGAGACAAAGCGCA